AACAATCTATAATTTGTGATAAAATTCGAAATAAAATTCTATTTATAATTTTACGTATGACATAAAAAACATTTGAAAAGGTAAAATATTCTTCTCTTTATAAATTATATTCTCAGAAAAGACTATTGCTATTATTACTAAAAAAAGGGAAGCAACAGTTTTATTATTAGAACATATTGCATTGTCATTGATCGCACATTGTTAAGAAATAGTCTCGAATGACCAGTATTTTACCGAGGTCTCAATTTCAACTTCAATTTACCCGATTCTCTGTGCTTTCCAAGTCAAATTGAAATAAAGAGTTGGATAATTTATAATTGATCAAAAAGTTAACTGATTTAATAAAAATCAGTCATACAAATATATACTTCTTCAAGAGCGTGAATTTTGGAACTCGCTATCTCCGGAGATCTTTAAATATTTGCCTACCAAAATTTGATATATAATCTCAACCATCGAGTTATTTCACGACAGGGCTTTATCGTCTTTCTGTTCGGTCGCCAATGTTTCTGTTTCAACGTTTCCCGAAATTTAATCATCCTCTCCAACTGTTAGCCGAGAGCTGGAGCGGAAGTACGTCATTCCGCTGCCGTTGATTTCCCCTCGACGAGGGCCGCCAGTGGGGAGAACGTCGCATCACGCGCTGCGTCCTATTCTCTTTCTCCACGGGCTGAAAACACGTGACGCGAACACGTGGGAAGGAGAGACCGTGGCAGAGAGACCTTTCTCTCTCCTCTCCCTCCACCTGGGCCACGGTTTGTCACTCTCTTTCTCTCTCTTTCTCTCTGCCTCTTTCCCTCTTTCTCTCTTCCGTTTCCATCCTCTGACGGTTAACAGGTAGAAAGAGAGACAGGTGGCTCGATGTATTCATGATGCCGGGTGCGATACGACAATCCTGAACTCCACGGCCAGTGTCCGTGATGACTGCCCCGCGAATCGACGTATCTGTCCGATTGCAAATTTGATGTCGCGCCGAGCTTTGTTTTGTGTCTTTTATAAAATTAAACAAAGTCTCTTTTCTGCGAAGATACAAATAAGATTAATATCGGTTATCGATGATACTTGATGACAAAGACACAAAGTGTTTGAATTAAAATTTATAAGTCTTCTCGCAACTGCATGAATTAATCGATGAATTTCTATCGATACGAAGTTTAAGTAGAATTGTTGAATAGTGAGAAGATAAAGTGAATTGAATTGTGGTTATTTTAATTAAGTAAGTTGAGAAATGAAAGTGAAACTTAATAATTTACATCCCAATGGATCCACCTCCAATAATTTCGTATCGACGGAGAATTAATTTTTTAATTAAATAACTATTAAAGTAAATTAATTAAAGTGATTTTTTCACTTAACTATAAATTAAAAAATTACAATATATTTATAAAATTTTTAATCAAGAAATTTCATAGAAAATATATAGATCCTCGGTTTCGCAAAATTGTTTTGTTTCATTACAAGTCTGTATATTCTTCTCCCAATTAGTAAGTCTTGAGAACAAAGGAATAGATGTCAAATTTACTTTCCAGACTATTTTTTAATAGTCATTTTTTAATAGTAATCATTTTTTATTACGAATCAATTTTTCTAACAGATATCTCTCCACATTTTATAGTCCTAAATAACAAAATATTCATGCTATGTGTTACGATTTCTATGCGATTCTCTATAGTATTACATCCGGTTAACACGTAGAAGATATTCGCTTCGTGTGATTTTAATGTTCTAGAAGTGGAACTATGGGGAGTTGTGTAAATTACATGAGAACGCTACGGGTTAATAATTTACGCGTACGCATTTACCGAGTTCGGAGTAGATGTCGAAGAAAACATCGTTCGTGATCCGAACCGATTTGGGTTTCTCCTTTTCGGGCAGATAATGGATATCGACCACGGTGCATTCTCTCGAATTCTGTTAGCTGGAAATATTTGCACGATAATAATGGCAGAGGCGAATCGATCGTAGCGGAAATCGTAGCAAACTCCACTCACAAATGACTATCTACGGTATTGTCGTTAATGATTATTCTCGCTAGTTAATATTTGTCCCCGTTAACAAGATTGAATTGTCACGAGCTCACAGCTTCCTATGCATAATCGGCTAATTTTCAGTCAAAACAGCGAATTAATATCGAAGATGGATAATCTGATTAATATCACAATTGTATTAATTAAATTACATACAAATTATATATGAAATTTAATTTATTTATTTATTAATTTAATTTATGTTTTATTGTCATTTCTTTTCATTCTTATTAAAAGTGTAAAAAATGAAAAAAATGTAATTTACATTGTTAAATTAAAAAATATAGAAATTGTAAGAATAATAGAAGAGCACTATTATTACTCTTATATTATTTTTAGTTGTAGTGTAATACTTTTCGGTAAAAATTTTAAATTTAAAAACAGATTTATAATACATATGTATTACATATTTATCTTGGTTTTACAATCTTTTACATTATATGTAGGGTATTAAGATTGACACAAATCTCATGTTAGATTAATACCATCGTTACATATATTATCGTATGTTGAGTTTGCTTGTGGGCAACGTGACGAAAATGACGTTACAGGAAACAGATCTCATTTCCATTTCTTTTCAAATTCGCGATCCGGCAAGCTCATCGTTGATCGACGTACAATTCGTACGCCCTTGTTGCTCAATTTATACGACACGCCCCGGAAACTCGCATTTCGTGAGAAAGGAAGCTCGTCCTTTTCTGCCACCCCGTCCTACAACTTACCGGCGAAATAAATTTTCGCGGCGATAAACTTAAGACGAATATCTTTCTGGCCGCGGGACGATAGATAAATAGAAAGCGCGGCTACGTGATTCGAATAACCACGTATTCGCGTCTTCTTTTCGCCTCCCCGTGAATTACATTCACGATTATATATTTCGACTTCGGTATAGTATTTGAAAGATAATTCTCCATTGGGAGATCGAATTCTCTCATCACTAACGACGATCGCGAGAGATTGATCGAACAGATGTTCGGCAAGACGGATTTATCATAAGAGTTTTCGAGGTACATGGAACATAACTCACATTGCACACTTAGCCAAATAGTATATATTTCGTAGATAAATACTTAGAGATTTGCGGCATTTCGAAATCTATCTCTTAGAATTAATGTCATGATCGAGTTAGAATTTAATCTATATGTCAAAAATGAGTCTAATTGATATAAAAAATGAATAATACACAGAGAAAAATATTATTCTATTGCCAAGAAAAGCGACTACTCAGTTTATTTTTCTTTTTTTAAGTAATAGTTTTCTTCAACAAAGAATATATTTCTGATAATAGTTTTAAAATGTACTCATCACAAGTGTTAGAAAATCTCATTATCATGTACTCAAAAGAAGAATTTATTTTCTCTTCAAGAATATTGTAAAGTTGTATCAAAGAAAAATCAAACTTACTTTATGCCAACTTTATGTAATAAGCAAACCAAATTTTTATTTTAATTTAATATTCTTGATTAAAATACTGCACTTACTAAAATTCAGAATATATTCAATTAAATTTAATGCTTGTGATGAACTTATGATACATTTGCAGATATACAAACTTATGATATACTTAAAATAAATAATATTTACAGTATACATTTTTCTCTGTGTAGGATGTTATACAAAAGTATTACATTAGTGTTTCTAATTTTAAACTTTTAATATTATAGTCTATAAAATAACAAAATATTTATTTAATAGTTATTATATTTCACGTATCAATTTTTTTGATATTTTCTTCGGTTATTATTTTATTATATTTCTATTATTATAATATGAAAAATATTTGCTTCATTTTGCCTTTTAAATATAGAGACGGTGTTATTAATTTCATTTCAGATATATTTTAAAAATCTGGTAAATACATTGGTTCGAAAAACCGAGAATCTACGTGAATAAATATAGATTTGCTCAGAATATCGATTTGTTTTTCAGTTATCGATTTTCACCCAATATACGTATATATTATTCATCTGAGCGTCATTTAAGAGATTTGATTTTCGATATCTTTTTTGTTTAATATCATCATTTAGGTAGAGCTTTTATTAAAGCGCATTATTACGTAGACACGAACATCAGCATTGCTAAAACGAGCGTCCAACCGTGACGTTTTATATGGCTTCCTCTTATACACGTAAAAACGACAGCGATACACCAATAGTATCAGCATAGTCATTTACCGACGATCTGTCACGGTCCTACTTCCGTCATGTGGAAATTTCGCTATTTTGCAACGCATAATCACTTACCGCAATTTCGCAAATTCCACGATATCTGTCGTTCGTACGCGTCAATTGTTTCGCAGTTGACGCATGGAAAATACAAATTTGTATTTCATTGATTTCCCTCCCACAAAATATAATATTTGTTCCATTTATTTCACGTGTTATAATTAAATAGAAAAGCGCGCTAAAAATATCACGTAGCTATACAAAATTTACGCCAAATAAGAATAGGCTTTTCTTAAAATATCATATTCTTAATCATTTTGCATATCGCTTATTTAAAATTTAAACGTATCTTCAAATCTCATCTTAATATCCTGCAATTTGCTGTGAAATTGCATTGATTTGCTGTTAAATACGTTCGGCTAAAACGTGACTAAAATCGATTCATAAAAATTTTAATATATTTCAGTTGGATATATCTAATATTATCTTTTCCTACAAAAAAATATTGACAAATTTATAATTATCCAGACAGTAAGCATTTTATTTTTCGAGACAAAATAGGAGGAGAATTTGTGGAAACCAAGGATTTATAAATAATAGAATTAAAATTTTACATAATAAGTTAATTTAATGAATCGCATTTTCGATATAGAATATTTATCAATAATAATAATTAATGCATTATCAATAATTTAATACAAATATTTAAATGTTTGGGAGTTTAAAATTTTATATAAACAAATATTCAATAAGCGTAGCGAAAATTAAGAAATTAACTCATCATTTATTTTATTAAATTAGATAAACTGTCAAATGTATTAACAACATCGGCGGGCTCCCCTTCTCGTCAAGAAATAAAAAATATATCATATATCCTGTCTGTCTGAAAACAAATCTACGGCTAAAATGTTGATCGCCAGCGTATCCAACAGTCAAACAATCGCTCCCTCGTCATCTGTGAAACTACGACGATCTCGCCGATTGTCGTCCACCAGAGGATTAAAACAACGAATGACCACGAATGTCTCGAAAGACTCTTTTCCTTATCGGAATCTCGATCGAAAAATTGAAAATTCTTTGCCTATAACGGACAAGAGCAGCGACGAAGACAATGCCAAAGGTGGACTATTGATAAACTGGGAAATGAACGAAAGAGTCAGTTTAAGCAGCCGTTCTAGCACTGGATTGGCAATTCGTCCTGATGGTAAAAAAGGCATCGAATTTAGCGAGAATCGCAGAAGAAACGTTGAAGGTAGATCGAAAATCGGCTCAGAATGTTCGGAACGCGAAGTCAAATCGTCGTCATCAGTCGGACCGACGTTGGAGCTGATGAACGTGTCCGGATTTCCCGGGTCGAATGCCGATCGAAAGCATCGCGGTGCCTGTTCGATCGACATGACGGATGAAAACGTCCTTCGGAGCGATTCGAAATACGAGATCGGTGTTCTCAGTCGCGACTCTGCGATTACGAGAAAGCAAAGGGGACAGAGCGATACGCTTAGAAAAGACAACAATGACGCGACAAAGAGATGGACCAAAGATTCCATCTCGAAACGACTGGAACTGATTCACGAATTGAATCAGAAGATCTTGGCTAACTATGAGAGGTTTCAGCAAAGATCGAGGCGGCCCAAGGAGGCGAAGGAGCAGACCGTCAAGAGCCGAGTCAAAGATAAAACCGATACTGAAGAGCATATTTATACGGAGATCAAGAAGAGGCACAGAACAAGTTGTCAAACGAGTGATCGGAAGGCTCGAGATATTTCTAAACATGATACTTGTGGAAAGGAGTCTTCCAAGGAAGATGCTTCTAGACGAGCAGATACGGATAAATCGACCTTTTCGATAGGTTATCACGAGAGAGTCGATACCAAAGATCGAACGAAGAAGAAGGATAAATCCGATCGAAAAATCGTTCGCGAGAATACAAACTTTAGTATGGCGGCTAAGGAAAATTTTTTGTACCAAGTAGACGAGAAGACGCAGAAATATCTAAAGCCGAAAGACAAGAAAGGACGATTGTCGAAGGAAAATTCGATCTTCTACGCAAACGAAGATGTACCTTCAAAGGAGATGGAATCAGTCGCGTCTGGAGATTCTCTGCAGAACTCCAAATTGTATCCTGAGAGCAATAACGAGACGAAAAACGAAAATTCAATAGAAAAGGAGGACAGAGTTTCGCGAGATCGATCCGAAATCGATTCGCAAAATGATGCCATCGAATCGCGACGGACGGAAGGCGGAGATGCCGCGACGGACGAAAAAATTCTGGAGTGCAGAATCCTGGAGAATCTGGACAAGACGATCGACCGATTTGATAGCGAGAGGACGCGGCTATCATCGGGAGAGAGCAACGAGGAGGGGAACAGCTTTAGCACAGATTCCATACAGAGTCGAGGCACGAAATCGAAAGAAAAATGCACGAAGGATGCCAGCTTCCTGCAGGATACCTTCAATTCCTCCTGGGACTCGGGAGTCGGCGTGGCGGACCTCGGTAGCGGAAGCGGATGGGTGAGAATACATACGGGGATCGAGAGTAGCCTCGTCTATCTCACTCTGGACACCACGGCTAGGGACGTCTGCAGGGACATGCTATTGGGAGACGACTTGTCTCTGTTTGTCCAGGTAAACGCCAGTTTCAAACGCGGCTGATTGTCACCTTCAACTTGCACATTATTTGTCTCACGAGGGAATGAAATACGAAGTGTAGATGAGATAGGAGATATAGTGCAGGGACAATATAATTTCAGGCCAAAAAATTTGATCTTTGACATTGCAAAGGAAAATATTTCAAAAAATATAGAGACTTTGCATCTCGCGCAATTTCTTTTCCGTTCTCGCCTTGAGAACATTGAGATCTGAAATCATCGACATTATAATAATGTTAATGGTATATTTTTAATAGTATATTTTTAGTACAGTATGTTTTCTTAATTTTTAATTTTTTTTCCAATCATCTAACTTTCGAGATAAATTCAAAACTTTCAAGATAAATTCAAAATGATAAATTCTAAATGGTCTACAGCCTAGCTTCTCAAAAGATGTACGCGCGAGTAATCAAAAGAGTCTAAGATTTAAATAGCTGGCTAGCTCGATGAAAGAAGTTTTGACTCAATAAGACCGACTACCTAAAGCCGTCGAGCTGCAGTTAACTTTGGCTTCCGTAAAAGGAACGCTGGCTCTTTATTCTGCAAACCTTCGATAGCGGAGAACGTTCAAGTACTTTGTTATCTCGTAATTGTTAATGGGCCACAGTTAATTATCTTCGATATAAAGTAACAAGAAATATCTAATACTTTATAGTTCGGGAAATAGCACCGGATTAAAAATTCATTTTCGAAGGAATGACAATCGCTTTTGTGTTAAAAATTTTATCTATTTCATGTGTATTTTATTATATAAAGTTATACATAGATGTAAAAAAATATATTGAATTATATATATTTGATTTTCATCGTATGATAAAATCAATAATAACCGTTATTGCAATAGTAATATTGATTAAATATTTTCTCGAGTAAATACGAACTGGAAAACAAGTAATATATTTGATTGAGTTTATTGCCTTGTATAAATTAATCCTTCTCGTGTATATATACTTTTTGTTCGATATTTCACATTATAAACATTGCACTGAAATCTGTAATTAAAATTTTCATAGAATACGCTTATCACGGATTAAATGTTGCGCAAAATAAAATTCAAGCTAAAAAAATTATTTGTTAACAAATAAAATTATATTTTAATTGTAAAATACATCGATACAATAACGTATTTAGGTCATTTTCTGTGATTATTTTATAAGCTGTTCAAAAAATCCGGAATCAAAGAAAAATGTATAAATTAATTTGTAAATATAATATAAACAAAATAATATAAAAATGATATAACAGTTATCTCTTTCTTTGTTTCTAAAGGTTATTTATGTAGATATTTTATCTCTATATTCATTTAATTACAAAATAATATTGAAATTATGAAATTATTAATTAGGTTATTGTTATAATATTTATATACATATTTTATCTTATATATAATATATAGAAATAATATTTTATTTATAATCATACAAATACACAACTACTAATACTTTTACACGTTTGAAATATCTCTTTGTGATCTCAAAATGTCCAAATATATTACTTATATTATTTTATACATAAATTTTCATTATATATAAACAATAGAAATTTACTATTTAATGCGTAATAATCCGTTTCATTCTAACATATCAAATTCACTTGCGAATTTGCAAAATGAACATTTCACTAATTATTTATATTGTTTTCGTAATTGAGCAATTTTTATGCAAGTTCAACGTTCCCTTAGATTTTATTTGCGAATTCTTTTCCGTTCGTAAGGTGTAAATTATCGAGAGCTGCAATGTTACTTTCTCCTTCAATATATATGTGCGTAATTATTTAATATAATAATTCATCGCTTGATTGAGATAAGGACTAAATAATTACATATTTATTTAATCATTTCGCATAAGAAAAAAAAAATAGTTCGCATTCACGGTTATGGGAGATGTTCTACCTGAAAAAAATCGAGGAATCAAGCGACACCCGGTACATAAAACGAGCGCGGATCACGATCGCCATGTGCTAGCGGAATTTCTCCATCGGCGAACCGGAAGAGGACCGTCGCTCAAAGTTCCGCGGAAGCGATAGAGGGGAGGCTGACGCGATATCGTTGCGAGGAATCTCTATATTTTCGACGCGCCGGAGATATTAAAGGTCCACCGGCTGCCGTCGAGGAATCCACTGCTGTAACTCGACGTTTTCGTCGATGAAGAGTTTTTCGATCGAGCCTTCATGTCGTAAACAGACTCATCGTGACGAGGAAACGACACGACCCATATCTACCGGATGTCTTTTTGGTCCGTCGGTATATTACGATCAATAACGACATCGAGTTCATCTAAATTTAAGCCAAAAGATGACCTACGTGATGAGCAACTTGCGATGAGCTTGGTATACTGCACATAAATATTTTCTATTCTTACGACGTCTAAAGGTGGCTTAAAGATAGACAGAGAAAAATAGCGTCGCAAAATACTCGATGCGACAAATCTGTCCGTATAATTGACTTGATATTTTGAAGCAGCGTCGATCAATATTGACCAGGATCAGTCCGACTGTTTCGCGAAAACTTTCGCGAAACTGTCTACGTTTCCCTCAAGGTGCTTAGACATTAGTCACCGCAGCCATATTGCATCGTAATGTTATCAAGCGAGAAATTACACGTAATCTTCTTGCGTATGCAAATGTTAACGCTGTTAGCGAATACGCGAATATCGCTGTGTGCGCTGACCTAAATAGACATTGTAACTTCGATAATTAACCGATGATAAATTATTATCGAAACGATACAACTTCTGTACCAAAACGCTATTATTCAGCGTCAAATTTGCAGAAGTATTGGCAATTTTCTTCGAAATATTTTTATGAGAATAATAATCTTATTTGAGATCGAGATAAAAATAAAGTGGATCGCGGTGAATGCTGCGGGAATTCAAAATCCAGCATGCAACATGCTGACTCGATGTAGCGGAACGAATCAAGCATTATTTCCACGGAATCTCTCGGGATTCGCGGAAGAAAAAGAAAGGGAGAGAGAGAAAAACTGCCAGCAGAAGAAGCCCGCTACTAAATCGAAACTCCGCGTTTGTCCAACGATTGTTATTGGCTGTGGAAAGAGATCGATGCGCGAAGATAGGGGAAGTGCATTCCATGAAAACAAACGAAAGATTCCGCGGATCACGAAGTTTCCCCGGAGACGATTTCAGTAGCAAGCGAAAAATTTTTCGATTCCCTCGTAGGGGATGAAAGGGGTTGAAAGTAAACGTAAGTATAATAATCGAAACGCGATCGATACATATAGATTTTCGTTGTATTTTTTTCGCCGAATTTGTGCAATATTGGAAAAATATTGGAATATTTAAGAGAAATTTTATCTTTGTAAACTGCGATTATACATTTTTTTTAAACTGTCACAAAGACGTTGCAAGGGATATAATGTTCTATAGAAACAGATTTCTAAAGAATAAAGATACGGATTTTCGTTCTCCATCTTTTTGTCTGCAAAAATAAATTTTTGGTTGAATGATTTAAAAATCCTCTTTTACGTCGATCCTACTATCACGAGAGGAACGTCGCGGCGCTTCGAGGATAAACATGCACGAAGACGGTCCGCACGATAATGAATTCAACGAACGTATAATGCAGGATTTAACGTCACGAGAAGAGTATTTGGTATTCTTGTCGAACGAGAGTCAATCTTCGAGAGTGAGAGACCATTTGCAACATTATACGTTCTTGTATTTCCGTCGCAGTGACTCATATATTCGTACATTATATTCTGTTCATTGCAAAAAATACACAGTAAAAAATAAAATGTTAATTTTAACATTTTTCACATGTCTCAGAAAGTCCACTCTAAATTTTAAGTTAAACTCATTCGTCGTATGTTACTTATTAATAAACTAAAAATGTTAAATAATTGACACAATATTTTACATTTATTTTTGTTATTGTGACTTTAAGTGTAATGTAAAAATAATATACAAATTAATTAAAAATTATATGAAAAAATCATTATAATAACTCATAAGAATTGTTGTGAGACATATAATAGTAATTATTTTAACTTAAATTATTTGTAATAGAACCATTTAATTTTTATTTGTAATAGAACCATTTAATTTGATTATTTTGCATGTCAAAATTCAAAATTATTTGAAGATTTACTTTAATTTTTTTTAGAATGTCAAACTGACTTTGAGACATGTTGATTGTTTAAAATGATTATGTTAAAAATACTCAAAATACAAAATGTTAAGTTAAGAAGTTGACATAAATGTGACACAAAAATGTTATAAAAATAATAATATATAAGTTGTATGTTAATTTTACATTAAAGTACTAATCAAAACATGGTAACACAAAAGAAAATTTTAACATATGGACGCACAATTTTTTACTGTGTAATAGCTTCGATTTTATTCAAAGTCAACTTTAAATGGTTCGCAAAAGTACAAAGAATGCCGGTCATCTTTCGGATCGTCTTAATTTGAAAGTGCATCAATTAATGTAATTTACATGACAGAAGCCACGTGGGAAATTGATATTCGCTAAATAGTTTGCGTGAAATAGAACACGCGAACTTATCGCACGTGTTACTACTCCGATATTCGCGAAACGCGGATTACTCTGCATCTGGAATTATGGAGTCTGCCACACCTTGAATTAGAGCAAAGAGTAGACGACGCCGTTGCACATGCGAAAGAGCTCGTTTCCTCGCAATGACGAGGTGTTTCGAGCTCTCGACAGGCCTGACACGTCACACTCATCTGTCAGTCTGTGCGGGAACAATGCGCAAGGCACGAGAAGACTCGTGCTATGCTAGCCCGTTGAAGTTATACGTCTCGGTTTGATCATTAGACATTTCCCTCTCGCGACGAGGATTGAAATGGGAAGGTGACAACCATCGCGAAAGCTCTATACTTTGAAATATAATGCCCTTATCGCTAAATTGAATAAGTTTCTTATCTAAATAAAAATTTTATTTATGTAAGGTTCTCATCTCTAAGATTCGATCTCGTTAATTAGATTTTACGGTGTCTTATTTCTATGCTGTTTGCGTAGATTTTATAGCAATTTGGGGTCTTCGATATTTCTTCAGCAAAAATTTAATTAGCAGATATTATTTTAGCAGATATTATCTGTCAGAATAATTTGACAAATAAGTCTTGAAAATTTCCGGAGCAAAGTACAATTAAAACGAATAACAAGATTACATTTTTAATTATATCTTCGATTCGTTAGTCTTTTCAAAAACTTTTAAATTGAGAGAATTTAAAATTAAAGCTGTTAAATAATTTAATCATATTGTAATTGAAAAAATCGATTATGAGAAAAGCCACAAATGAAAGAAATATTTATTTAAGAAATACGCGCATACATAAAATGAGAAATCTCTTCTGTGACTAGAATACAATACTGAAATTTTGTAGCTGAAACAAGATCCGATAATTTTGGAACTTTGCGCATAAATTTTGACAAAATATATACTACATAGTGTGCCAGCTCGAAATCGATTATTCCCATGAATCTCTGTGTGTGTGTGTGTGTGTATACATAAATTGTGTGTGGATAAATTATATGAAATTTCAGTATAATTCCAACAAAGTTTTGGAGGATAACAAAACTTTGCGATAAAAACTATAGACTATTGCTATAATTGTTTCGTAGAGCTCGAGAGATGCGCGTCCAATGAAAAGCATCCAATTAAATTTGATCTAATCTGACAGTATTAACCGATCGTTCTAATGATTACCGGTTCGAATCAAGATTGCGATCCCCTTCAATCTCTAAGTTCCTAAAAGGATACGATGAACTCTTTTACGATTAACTGAAATTGCTATTCGTTAGTTTTCCGAACTATTCGTTAGTTTCATTTTACGAACATTGCATTCACGAGCCGGCGCATTTAACGAGCGTTGCTTTTTACGAGCAATGTTGTTTAACTATTGTTGTTTTATAGCATCTCTGTGTGTTTTTTCGCGTATCAATAGGAAAATGGAAGAGTAAAAAGGAAAAAAATACGAGGAATGTTTGATGGGTGACGATAAAATTTCCGGACGCTTCGTCCAAAATACACTTTGTATTTTCGGTTACGAGAGATATTTTTTTCATGATTTTCTGATAGCGCGGTAAACACAGCGAAATGTTATAAGATGGAATTCGATAGAATTCAACAGGCGGTGTTCGATAAATTACGCAAAAAATGGACCAATTATTTTCCGTAGTAATTGTTTTTTTTTTTATCATTGCAGTGTCGAAATTGTTTGTATTGTTGCATTGTATAATCTTTGGATTTTTAAATTGAATAAATTACGATTTTTAGATTCTTAAATTATTAAATCTTTTCTTTTTAATTATTAATTATTAAAATAGAATTCAATATTTGCATTTTCTCTAGAAATTTGATTTTTTGTATATTTCATTCTTGAAATCTTTCTTCCTAAAATTTTTATACTCTTAAATTAGTTGATGCAATGGGCAATTAATTAATTAATTAATTAATTAATTAATTTTTTCGAATTATTAAAATCTTTATTCGGTTCAATATAATTATAAAACATTTAATCATAGAATAACAACAAATTAATAAATGTTCCTTTATTTTAAACTGCACACGTAATCTACTTTTATACTCGGACAGCATTCATAGAAAAATGTTAAGGAAACGATTATTTATACTCCTCAGAAAATAAGAACTGAGCCATATACGAGAAATGCGAACCTACTCGTAATCCTCTTACACTATGAAAAGATAAATCTGTATTACGTTGTTTGAAACGAAATCACGATGAGAAAACGGACAAGAGATAGGCCGATATATATGCAATTTGTATTTTTAATTAAAATCAGGTCGGTAGTCGAATAAATCCAACGAAAGGGAGAAGAGAAGAAGCGCGGCGAGAATAAAATTGTCAATCATAGCGACATTCGGGATTGTCTTTCGTTAAGCGAGAACAAATTTTTACGCGCCGTTGCCTAATTTAATTAAAGTCGCTCGTCGAAATATACACATGCTCACACACGCATACGCACAGAGAAGAAGATAATAATGAGTGGATTACAGATGAAAAAAATCAGTGCATATTTTCATCTAAAATAATAAAATAACAAAATATTTTAACCTAAATTAACAAAAAATACACAAAAAATACATCTTCATATATCTTAGCGTTTTTTTTTTCAACGAAGAATAGATGAGCCAAATTAATTGAATAAATTAATATAAATATTATCAATTAAAATATATATCATATAATATATATCATATAATATATATGTATTAAAATATATATCAACTGATTTTTTTCAGAAAATTTTCTTTGACAAATTTTTAAAACCCGTTTCATCCGAAGATGAAAGAATCGTGAAAAACGTATCTCGAATGTGCGCACTTTTGCAAGACGAAGCGTTGAAGGAGCTAATTCTATTTACCTATCTGCACGAACATTTTTGACTGAGACCGTCGTTTTTCCGCGCTTAATCCAGCGCAGACAAGTTAAAGTCACTCGATTATGTAAACGAATTTATGGAAGGGCACCTGCTATATACGATGCTGTACATTGCAACGGCAGGTGTTTGCCAGTTTGCGCTATATATACACGTATACAAGGGAAAAGTCAGGTCAGGTAACTGAACAGGTGTCCGATGAAGAAAATAGACGAGTTCGATGATCCTTTGACTTTTTACATATTGTAGCTCTGTATTAAAAAACGCTCGACGATGACTAGTAGGTACTTTGACCACTCGTATCGCATAACAAAATTCGAAACTCTTCAAAATTTTTAACAATTTTCATTCCGAACCAATAATTATTTCCTACAAAATTCTGATGATAAAAAGCGATAAAATAATCTTTCACAAATAAAACGATTATTAAATTGCATTTTCTTTGTAATTTTTTTATATTATTGGACATATGGAAATATATATATATATATATTTAACGATTTAATGTTAACGATGAATTTTCCAAAGATTACGGAGACCCAATATATTTCAAAATGTGATTCGTCAGTTAAATTTGTGTGACTCGTTGTAATAAATCCGGGAAAAAAATCGAGGAAAAAACATTTTCGACTTAATTAACGTGCGCGAATATTAATGTAAAATATTAATTATGACGGTCTTGCATTTTGTGAAATGCACATTGATCTCGATTAGCATGTGAACATGATATAATAAAATTTCAAAGCTCGACATGATGACATACTATTCGATAATTGTCGGAACAGTCGAGGATTATTTAGCTTTACGCTAGGCTAGTTAAATTTAGGACTATTTTATATATATATATATATATATATATATATATATATATATATGCAATACAAATTGTGCGAAACATTGTATGCTCTATCTCTGCTTTCAATATGAAATTTACGAATTTTGTATGTTTTTATTTGAAACAATCTCAAAGCAAACTAATTTCCGTATTTCGGAATTAACAAAATCAACACCGCAACAAATCAACATTATCGCATATAGCGAACGTTTATAATGAATTTCGTTAATTACATGGGTCTCTAGAGAGAATTGGATGTATCTCGGTTTGCAGGCCAATAAATCGATAAAATATCGGTCTATCAAATCAGAATAAAATAACTTGCTGTCGCTAACGAAATTTCAAATCGAAAATATATTATGGATGAAAAGATTTCGCTCATTTATTCCGATCTATGTTATTGTATTTATTACTCTAAATTTATACCACGCAATATAGTAATATTATTTTTATCAATTCCAATCTCTATTTCTAAAAATATATCTTGACGAGATTCGTTTATGTCGTTTATAATATAAACATCTGAAAAAATTATTTGCATTAAATCAATTAATGTTTAACTATTAATAAGTAAGATTTATAAAATGAAAATTATGAAAATTATTATTAATGGAAAACGCGACGACACAAATAGCTGACACAAAATATGAAATGAAATAAAAATCTTAACAAATCGATATCTATAAAATTCCACGAAGGTTTGTGTGTTATTAGGTTCAACACTTCACTTTGTAAATAAACAACGCGTTCTGCTAACCACCCGAATCTCCCGAGTAACCAAGCTTGGCAAAATGGCCATGATGTCGGGAGGAATGAATGGAGGGTGGCCAGTAGGGAATCAGAATGAATTTCGGGGCTGAGCTGGTCGATTCCAATTTAACTTTAATTTACGCGAGTGCTGCTGGCTGCAAGTTCGCACGAAAATTCATACTCGACTGGTCGCGAGGGGGTGGTCGTCTCCATTTTTACTCCCTCCTTTTCTCCCTCGCACTCTTCGTTTAGAACGTTACTTATGAGTCCCTAAATCGTAACAAATGAGAGTTTTACGATGTAAGGAAGCATCCGACTCTCGCGGCCGTTGCCGTTAGATGGATTGATGGAATTTTTCACAGCCACTTTGCCACTAAAGGGCGCGTTCATAATAACAGCGTGTGAAATATGCAGCTTGTATTCGCACATATTTCGCGCTGTATAGTGTATCATTTCTCCCTGGAGAAAAATCGAAGTAAATAAGTGGAATATAAAGAATGAACTTGTATGATGTAGCACACAAAATTGTATGTTTATTTAATAGGCAAGACTAGATCACTGCTTAAACATTACAATTATAGCTTGTAAAAATTCTATAAAAATAATTTCGTCAAAAAGAAAAAAAGGTTCTTTGTATATATATATATATATATATATATATATATATATTTTGTATATATATATATATAAAATATTATATATTAAATATTATATATATTATATATATATATATATTTTTTTTTATGATAAATATATTTTTAATAGATAAAAATATCAGTGGCTTGGAAAAAGTTGAAAGAGTAACAAGCGGAAGAATGAAGAGTTTATTTCCAATTGGAATAACATCACTTACATAATCTTATGATGGCGATGTTCATGGCGCGAAACTTTACACTTGGTTAATCAGCCACAACTACGGAAGATATCGGATGTGCAAACGTCCCACGAGGATGCTTCGTAATTTGATGCCATTTGGCGATCCTTTACCACGGTAATTAAACGTTGGACATGTGTATGACGTAATCTGAAAAGAAGTAAGAAAGACACATATAAGCTTTGAGCACTGGCAAACGCGACTTTCATTACGTTATGAAGTAAAAAATGAAGAATATTATAAATTAAAAACTCTTATTCTCGGCGATTGATTCACTTTTATTTATCTCTACTACTCTATTAATTTTCTATTTTAAGATGGATAAATTAATCGAAGAAACAATTTTATATCAAATTATTATATTTTTCTTAAGGCACAAGAGTTTCATTTCAATCAGAATCTCTCTCATTATATGTATAACTATGAATGCATCTTGCTGTAACGCAATGTAATTTGATTAGGAATATTTTTAAGATCTTTTCAACTATACCTGTACATATAAAAATACAGTCTAAAGATTAACGCTTAACGTAATTAAATAAAAACAAAAAAAAAGATATTTATTTACAAAGTTAGTATTTATATATTTATCATTCCCAAAATTTGAACATCAAAAAGAATTATACGATATAATTAAATTTCTCTTAAATTGTGTTGACGAAGGCAGATGTGTCTTCTCACCTGAATTTGCATGCTTTATTTTAATAATAATATTATATATTATCATTTTAAAATAAAATATATAAATTCAGATGGGAAGGCATTTCTGTTTCTATCTGTACTATGTTATTTGAAAAATTTCAACTCCAATTTTTTTAAATATCTTAAGTATTTTATATGATAAATCATCGATATTTTAATGTAACACGAAAGCAGACGAACATCGCGTCTAAGGCTCAAAGAAGTAAACTCGTTGCTTTTTGGTTCAAGACACGAGTCAAGAGACTGGATTGCCGCTGACTCGGTGGCAGCAATTAATTTCTAAATCCGCGAACGTGGCGAGAAAGTCGAAAATTCTTGGCCAGGAGAGAGACGTTTCGTGCACAGGAATATGATTATCCGCGTGGTGCAAAAGTGTTCGAGACTTTAATTACGCTCTTTTCATTAATGAAGAGACGCCCTTTCGCGTCGAGAGAAGAATATCATCTCTCTTCCCCTCATTTTGTCGTCTGCGAGACGAACGTTTTTCGAATGATTTTTTTTCTTTTTTTTTCACAGTTTTCATTTCAAATAATTTTGACTATGTGGTTCTATATGTTGATTACAAAAAAAGTCGAAAAATATCCGCGTAATCCGTCGCGAAAATTGATTATCGCACAGACATTCAAGCATTTTTCTAGAAATGAATACAATGTACATATATAATGATGTTGACTTTGATGATAACTTTGATTCTGAAGATGATTCGTGAGATCGAAATAATTTCGCTAGCAATTCTATGCCGGGGCCATTTCTTTTTATCTCTTATTTTTATTCTTATAAAACCATAATGCTAAAAACATTTAATTAATATTGGACGTCAGATGGCTATCTATAAAAATTTCCATAATATGAATATTAAATCTGATTTATGACTGAAATTTTTATAATATCGATATTATATCAACATTATTTCATGATAAAGAAGTTGAAAAAACTTGATATGGAAACATATAAATACATTTTTAAATTTTACATAATAAACAAAATAAAAATTGCTAATTACTGCCAATTAAATATTAAATTTAATCAGAAGATTGATTTAATTAAAAGTTAATGTAACATTGTTGAGTGACATGTACATCGATATTATATATGTACTAATTATATATTTTGTTATAAAATTTTTATTAATTTCTAAAGTCGAATACAAAAATGGGAAAATGTCAAAAAAAAAAAGAAATATTAAAATGACAACAAACGAAATGAAATATTTTACAAAAGAACGCTGTTATTATTATATCAAAATGTTATTAAACCTAATAAGCTCCGCATTCCGCATCAGAATTGCGAGGGTTGCTCGGGATTAGCCAGGACAAAAATTAGAAAATCCGCCGCCCTGGGACGGTGATATATGTATATATACACGCGACCGCATTCGCTTGCTATCCAATGCGTGGCGTGATTAATCTCTCTCTCTACCCCCTGCGGCTAACCGGGTTATTATTTACAGGCCACTTTCCGGAATTACAATTTTTTACGGCGCATATGTCGCGACTAATGCCGCCCCTTGCGCGCCGAATGCGCAGTTTTATCTCAACGGAATTAAAACCGTTTCCCGGATTACGGAATTATCGAAGGACATATACGGCTATGCGCTCGAATAGATGGCTCTAATGCATTTTAAATGGCAGACTCCGTTTTATCGCGAGCGCGAGATTTCTCAGAGAGATTTTGGCGTGTGCAAAATCATGCGAATCGATTTCGTGCAAATTGGATCGCCAATAAAACAAAAACCAAATGAAATTGCTATGGCACAATATTAGACATTAATCGTTATTCCATAGAAATATAAAGTTAATGTAATTAAAAATGATATGAAATATCAGTTGATTAACGATAAAATATTAATATGAAATATTAATTAAATCGTTAAAATGTGAAAAGTCATAGTAATATCACTTATATATATAACTTGTATTCAATAACGCTAATTGTTAACTTTAGATACTCATTTCAATTTATATACAATTTATACAATTTGTGTACAATTTACATACAATTTGTATATAAATTTGTATACAATTTATACAATTTGTATACAATTTACATACAATTTGTATACAATTTATGTACAATTTATTGATATTATTATATTGTTTATAATTAACACTTGTTAATATGAAATGCAATTGAATTGTCTAATAAAAAAATGTCTAAATGATTTTCGATTTAAAGATGCAATAAATCGAATAATCTCGAGAAACAAAGTCTTTCTTATTTTAAACTTAGAATTTCAATAGATAAACTACGTATCCATAATTCTTTAAAAGAAGATTTGATTATAATTTAAATTAATTTTGAAACGTAAATGATCGGCAGAAACTCACTCGACTCAATTAATGTTTTAAAAACGTGATCCTATTATTAGCATTATAATTTTTGAGAGGATATCGTATATACTACTTCATGAGTAAGTTTCAATATATAAAGAGATGGACAGAATTTTCAACCGACAAGTCGTGACGACAAAATGATTTAGCGAAGCGGCAACTTCTCTATGCGAACATCGCAGTTGTCGGAGTTCGGCCGATTGCTACCTAAAGGGGATGTTTGACCAAAGTACGATTCTTTTTTTCGAGAAAGTTTACGATTGACGTGACGTTGAGAGCCCTGCCCGACGATTCGACTGATAAGTTTCCCTGGGAGAATCCGTTGGGAGAGACGATCCGAAACTTGGAAACTACCGGAAATTCTCAAAACGTATGAAGACTTTGCCTGAGTAGTTTACTGCATCAGCGAAACGATGATAATTTAAATAAAATAAAATAAATGCGATTGCAAAAAAGGAGCAAACTTGTCAAAAGAGTCAGAAGCTTCAAAAATTTATCAACAATCAAATGTAATTATAGAATCATGTATGTGAGAGGTACACTTAAATATATAAAATCTTTTTGACAGATAAACTGCCAATATTTTGTGAGATTATATTTACACACATTATATTTGCACATATCATAGTATTTGTAAAAGTTATCGTATCTTTTAAATTATCTCTTCTCACATTAAAATTTATTATGAAAATTAATTAATGAAAAAATTTAATAATGAAAATTAACGCGATTTATCTTTCAAATAAAATTAATCTTTCAAATAATCAATACTGAATATATTAATATTATGTATTCGTATAAATGTAAGAGGCAAAAATTTATGTATATAAATATAATTTTAAAATAATTTTCTATATTTTAAGAAATCTGAAAAAAATTTATAAAAATTGCAATTTAAAGCATAATTATAGAGATAAACGATTTTTTATTAAAAATCTATAAAAAAAAAGATTATAGTGTGTTATTATATTTTTTTCAAATATTTTAAACTTAAAATTATTTTAAAATTATATTTATATAAAAAAATTTTTCCATTTGTTCATACGAATAAATAATATTGATATAAATCTAACATAAATTATAAAAAAAAAACATTTTAATTGAAATATATTTTATTCAAAAGATATTTTTTATGCATATATTTTATCATAACTGTGAGTTCGCTTCCTATACATGTATTTTTCATCTCGAGGGACATATTCCACTTACAGTCTGCAATCATTAAAAAATTGAAGTTCGTTATATGTGACCTAAACTTGACAAAATCAACTAAATTAAGAATTATTTTCGAAAGGACGAAATCTAAATTCACTATATCTTGAATTTTAAATATAGCTAATTATTCAGATATATTTGCAAATTAAGAAATTCGATAATGCAAGAGTTATATAAAATTTGCGAGAAAGAGAAATCCTATATCTTGAATAGAATATTGGCAAAATTCATGTCGGATCAAATTTTGCGAAAATTGAATAACTCCATCAATTACATATTATCAATTATACATTATGTTTAAAATTATAATCTGATATCTGTAACTATGTGTGTATATGTTTAAAAAATGTAAACGTATTGTCTGGTTGTATATTAATATATAATCTTATATTTCAAAAAACCGAAAATTAATTTTTACTAGAAAATTAGCCTAAAAAATATTTTTTTTATATTTTTAACGTAAACATGTATTTAACATATAACGGCAAATAATGATCTATCTAAATCATTACAATGAAAGAGAAAAAAGTTTATTATAAGTAGCTGTTGAAAATGATCTTAACTTTATTATTATATTAACTTGATTATTAACTTTAATTTATAAGAAAATAAATATTATTTTAATTGATTATTAAAATTATTATATAAATATATTTAATTCAAATATTATGTTGAATAAATATATAAATATAATTTGATATATTAATTAAAGAAGTAAAACATCTTTTAAATTTTGTATGTTCTACTTTCATGATGTTTCTATTAATAACAATCAATTTCTATTCATAATAATTAATATATTAATATATATTTATATTTATATTAATATATTGATATATATTTATATTAATATATATTAATATATATTATTAATATATATTTCTATTAATAATAATTAATATATTAATATAATAATTAATATAATAAATTAATTATACAATAATTGGGCTTCTAAAATTATTAATGAAAAATTGTAAAATTTACAGAATGTACTTATATTATTCACTGTCGCTCTTCAAACTATTCCAACATCTTTGAATTTACATTATTAAATAGCTCGGTAATTAATTTGCGTGATTAAATTTTTATGATATCTGATATTATGACTAAGGTATTATGACGATATTTTATTAGCGAGAAAATCTTCTAAGGCAAAAAGCGCTTATCTTAGCATGAACTATGATGATAAGAAGATCTAAGGAAACTGCTGTAAAATATTTTTTTAATTAGCAGAAGTGATGAAATTTCTTTTTTTCTCTGGAGAGTAACTTTGATCGTGAGAATTCATTGAGATTTCCATCAGCGTCGATAAATTGCGTGATATTTTTATTTTGCTCGCAATATCGACATTTATATTAAATATTTAATAGATCTTCTCTTTGATTCCATTAAAAATTTTTATCCAGCAATATAATAAACATTATATAGATAAAATATAAACGATATATGATATGATGGAAATATATTTATATCAAAACTTTACATACATGCAAAACTCTTGAAATTTTAATTCAAGTTTTAATTTGTAAGGATAAAATCAAAGGAAAATGAAAGAACCTTTGATAGGACAATATTCATATAGAATTCTAAATATTAACTATAAACATTAATTATAAAAAACTTTTTTTGCTCATAATATTTAACACTTCATAAGTTAGCACAAATTTTACTTGACATATTGTCACTTTTTTCTTTTTCTTTTTTTTTTAACACACTCTCTTCACACGAATTTCATGTTTCCCCAATGAACGCGATGTTCATCCTGCTTCTTGTCCGTTGTTAAAATAAACATTCTATGAATTCATATTCCAGTATGGCGGCGAGCCAAGCAGAAGGTTGGCGTCCCAGGAGAAGCCGTTGGAAATTCAGGATCAATTTCTTCAAAGGCTTGGCTACGAGGATGTATCACGGCGCGCTCGTCTGGGAGTTGATCTCGAACTCAGACATCTCGTCGGCTTTCACGTAGGTGAGTATGAATCATAATAAAAGGTATTCTTTGTTTTCGAGTCGTTATATAGGAAAACCTCTCATTAATATTTATTATCTATTTTTTGTATATTTAAAAAAAATTATTTAAATTGACAATATATAAGGTATTTCACGAAAATGCTCACCATTATCAGAATTACATTTTTAAAATAATCATTAAATAATTTCTCGTTTAGACCAAGATGAATGAATGAATTCTGTTAAAACTCGACTCTAGTTTGTTAAAACTCTTCGCGAAATTATCCTCAGGATACAAAGCAGTCTTGCGCAAGAGTATACTTTTATTATAACGCACTTTTATTATACTTTACGTAAATCCTACCTCCCTCTTTTTTGGTAATCACAAAGCGTCGGATTTTGTTACATCGTTTGATTGCTCTTCCAGAGACGCGAACCGATGTGTGCGAGCTAATTGCATTAGTTGAACACTTCGTCATCCCGCGTCTTATCTCCTCGTCAACTTTGCGCTCGCGAGTGACTTTCGCGAGGAATCGCGCTTCCCCTATAATTGCCGTCGTCTTAACCTTTATGGTGCCGGAGCCGCGATGATTAATTAAGACAAGCGAGACAAGCGATTTGACTAATTGTAAGCGGTGCGCCTATTGATTACATTAACCCGAAATAAGAATAGAAAACATATTTAACACGACGACTCGCGCTCCAGATATAATTATGCAATATCCTCACATATTCTCAGATATTATCTTTACATTTACATCGCATTGGTAGTCTGTAAGTATAACAAAAAAAAAAAAAAAAAAAAAGAGATAGTATCTCCTCCGAGAAAGACTCGACGTATAACACATTCTGGCATATATTTCTCATCTCTGATTTCTTTCTACCGTAAAGGAAGGGAGAGATACGATGGGGCAAGGGGGGAGAGGCAGCTGTACGCTCTGCTAACTCTTGTATGATAATCGCGCTCCTCTATAGAATCGCGCATTTATTGCGAAAGGGAAACTTTCAGCTCCATTCTATAATGCTTTTCTACGTTTACGATATCGCTCGCCATTTCGATATATGTCGACTTGCCTCGGGGAAGCGCTAGGTTCTCTTAACTTAAGTGGAGCACCATGTGTACGACAGTTGTTGTGTCGACTCATACAAGAGAGAGAGAGAGAGAGAGAGAGAGAGAGGGGTTGTAAGTAGGTACTTTCGCGGGCGTTGTCGCTACAGAGACACGAAACGGTAAAGCGCGTGCTCCGCTAATTATAACGTTATTGCCGCTATTAATGAGCAATTTCAGGGCGCTTCTGTGCTCCACTCGGTCGCCGGCGATATAAACTCGCCGAGCGCATTACGTAACTTACGTGGCGCAATTTAGCCGAGTTAATTAAGTTAAAGTGTCGCGTGCGTCACGTCATCGTTGTCGTCGTCGTCGTCGTCGTCGTCATCGTCATCGTCGTCGCCGCGAGAAATTTATTTTCTCGCTATATTTTGCGTTTTTTTTTTTTTTGGTTGTTTATTTTGCGTTCTTTTTTCCTTCCTTCCTTTTCGTCTCCGATGATTTCTTCCAGCAAGATTCGCGCGATAACTCTTAACGATACGCGTAATTACGATCTTAAATAACGGTAATAATATGTATATAAGCCAATTTATATCTCCGCTTTCGCGCGTGTTTGCCTTATAAATGTAATCTAAGAGAGCTCGGGGCAACTTTCGCTCTTTAAAGAGTTTACTTGTCCGTCTACTTAACTGCCACTGGTCGTGGACAAACTCGAAAATTGCCTTCCCGACTCCCGTTTACCATCGCGTACGTTCGGAGGATGGATTTTGCAAGAAAACCGAAGTAAACTGCAGCGTTTCGCAGATAGACGATATTGGAAATGGCTGGTGATTGATATTCTAGCTTGAGAGATGCTCGCGCGACCGTATTTTTTTATCGAGAACTGATACATCGAGAAAACTGACAATCACAAACACTTTCATGTTACATAGACCTCGACTTTCGAGCGAGTTTTCGAGTGTATTTTTTTATTTTACGCACCTATATTGTTTATTTGATTGAGAGATATTTGCAATATTTAGATAACCAAACTGGACAAAGATATAACAAATATAACAGGATACAAACAAAGATATAACAAACATAACAGGATACAAACGAGGAACGAAAAAAGGATATGCATATTTAAAAAATTCCCACGTCTCAATTTTTATCGATTATTTTAAGGCGCGATAAAGATTCACGTATCCGAACACATACAAATCGATATACGCATATATCTTGTTCTCATCTTACCTATAATATTTAAAGTATAAATTTATAAAAGTATAAATAGTAGAATATAAATATTTCACACAGAATATAATTTTTATCTTTTATTTTTTCCACGATTATAAACTACTCGACCAAATATCCAAAATTCTACAGACATTTGTAGAATTTAAACGTACAAATTTTCAACAATATTTACGTGTGTAGATAAGAAAATGGTCGAAAATACGAGTATTTTTGCCGCGAATAATTTAGAAATTTGAATAGATTCACAGAATGTATACACGTATCATTTAGATATTTATTATCTAATTTCGTTCGTTTATCTAGTATAGCTTAACTAAGAATTTTTCTAAAATTCTGTCGACGATATCACGTGCCGTTTGACGGCGCAGTTTCATATCATGGGGTACAATTGGACCGACGAGATACGCTGTTGATACCAGACGCAGGGGAGGATTCGAGCGTTAAAACAGCAAATTTATCTAACAGACGGCGCGAGCATATTTAACCATAATAACCACTAACGACTGAGAGTTTCCTGGCCGGAAATGCCGGAAGTGCGCGCTCTCGCGTCGTCGACCCAGCAAACGACATAACCGCTCGCCTAGCTAAGCCAAAACGTTAAACGCCGATTATCGCGTTGCCGGTGTTCTCGTCTGTAATTTCCCGCGGAAACTTTTGTCCCTCTTGCCCCTTGAGAACAAAATTCAACCATTGCAAGTGTACTAAATGACAAACATAATTCATTTTTTACGGAGAAAATAGATTCGCCTCTTAATAGGTTTACAATCAAGCAAATTGTAATCCAAGGTAATATTGAGAGATAAAGAAATATAATGAATATTACAATATTAGTTTTTGCGCAAAGTTATTTAATATTCGAGGAAAGAGGAAAATAAAAACTTTCTTAATTATCGAATTATAATTATAAAATTAAACATCTGTTCTCAGATGATGTCAAGATTAGATTTTAAATATGTAACAAACTTTAATCTAAGACTCAATCTTCCATATATAACGTCGCTTTTCAACGTTTCTTACAACAAATGTAAAAAAATTTCGTTATCATTAATCAGCCTAATTCCATGCATATTGATTGTAATTTCTTTTTACTTGATAAGATAGAATCTACATTCGCGCATAATAAATAGTCCTCTCTTTCGCTGAAAATAGTAGCATTTTCCAATGTTATAATAAAGCTGCACGCACGCTGGCTTTAATAACCGCGCACGATTTATTGGATTTTATCGCAGAGAGATGGCGAAGCGAGAGCAAAGTTCGCGAGCATTTCTCGCCGACGGCGACGTGGTCCAATATTTACAGATCCGCGAGAAAATATCATGCTGCCATGAATATAATTGCTCTTATTTTCTGATAATCCGCTTCTTTTACATATTCATGTTCGCATTGTTGGCTTCTATTTATCGACCTTTAATAGGTTTTTGTAAGAACTTCAAAACGCTGTTCAAAAAAAGTAATTTTTATATATAGATTACGTTTTTTAACAAATTACATGATAAGTACGAGTTATAAAGAGAGATAAATTTCATAAAATAAATTTCATAAAATTTGTATTTTAGAAAATATGTTAAATGATAAATAGAAATAAATAAGTAATAACTCAACAGAGATTTTTAATTTATTCTTGCAAAGAATTAATATATAATATTAGTCATAATATATAAACAAAGTCGTTGTTTTCAAAGCTACTGATAGCTGATAAATATTGTATGATAGACAAATATGTTAAAAAATACATGACAGCTACGATCGCGATATAACGTCCGATATTTTTTACGAGTTGATTGTAATGGTTTTGCGATTCTCCAGAACAGGTAAAGGTCTATATCGCTACACAATGAGTCGAAAAAATAATATTTTGATTCGCGTATGTCGCATATGGTCTGTAAAATTCTCTGGGAATTTGCGTCTCTGTTTGTAAGCGTAACTCAATTTCCTCGCACGCCGTTTGCTGCCGCATATGCAATGAAAAATTCCATATGTCACAGTATATAGGACAGTTTTGAATAGAGTCAGTGAAAATTCTCAGGAATAATCAAGAAAGAAAAATAAATATGTTATAACAGGAAGTTTCCATATTTTTAATCAATTCAAATACTTATATAAATAGAATATAATTTAATGTAATGTATTTAAATGAATTTATCTTTTTGATATTATCTATTTATATTATATATGACAATGTTTATATAATTGTTATACATTTTTTATTTTCTTAAAAAAAGAAATATTTATTGCTATAAAGACGATCGTTTCTTTAAACTCAGGGGGATATAAATATTTATTAAATTTAATGCAAATTGAAATTTTCTGAGATACGAATTATATACATCGATATAAATTGAAAAAATAAAATTTATAATATGATTCGTAAACTTAGTTATTTTTCAAGTAAATATACTTTCCTTTTATCACAAATTTCGTGTGAGATCATAGCAGAGTCTCAACCCTTTCACCCCAAAAAGCGTTACGTGTATCTAAAAGGCATCGTTTAAAGAGCGCGTTGATTAAAGCCGTAGTTACTAACCGCTCTATCTCTTTTACTTTTTGCCAGGACCAGCATCGCCATTGCCAGACCTGGCGGGATACAGCCGTTGCGGCTACACCCTGGTGTTAAAGGGGTTGGTTTTTCCCCAATGGAAACGACGACCTCTAGCCGTCATCGGTTCCAGACTCTTCCTTTATCCGGGTAAGTGTCCCACTCGGAGATCCTGCCAATCTCTGAGATAAGAGAATTTACAAGGAAGAGAGGGAAGAGCATGATTTCGCGCCCCAGTAGAAAACCTCCATGTGAACGAGGGAAACAACCCCTGAACGTCTATCAGAGAGATTAGGAATTATCTGGCAATCGTATCTGTCTCCTTTCTTCTACCAAGATTCGAAAGGATTCGTGAAATTAGCTGTAAGAAGGATCGAATTTAAGAGACTTAGCGTCACTCGCAATTGAAGAGCTTACCTCAAAAAAATTCTTTTTCAGGAAACAGGTAAATATTTTTTTAAATTGTCGCGCCAATTTTTAACTTAAAAAATCAATTTAGCATAGATCTTTAAATATAAACTCAAAAATAATATAATAAGAATATAATCTCAAATATATATTGAGCGACAAAAAGATGATTTCCCTCAATATTAAAAGATGATGCTTATCTACGAGATTCGATGTATAAATTAACATATATTTGAAAACCGTTCTTTGAAAATCTTCGAGCTACGCTTATGTAAACGATCGCAAACGTGACGGTTCCTTTAAGGAAGATAAAGATGCCGGAAAGGAAAATATCAGCGAGATCAGTCCCCTAGATGTCTTCCCTTTTCTTTCCTTTGCTTTCCGATTTCCGACACCTGAAACATCATGATTTATCTACGTTCGTCCCTTATCCTTCGTGGGAGGGATCCTGTCACCGACCAGGATGCGTGCCGTGGATCAAGAATTTCTTCGGCCGGAAGGATTTATCTTGTCCTGACGGGCAATTACGTCGGCGAACATTCAGATACGGCACGTATCGTTATCGTTTGAGAAAAATGGCGTGTTGCCCGCAAGCTGTATTTACAGCACAGACACAATACATAATGTATGAAAGTTAAAAATAGTGAGAATATTGATAAAGTTTTTTAAAACATGAGATATATGCGTAAAAATTTAAATTGCACATTAAATAAATTTGCATAAAAATTTTATTTGCACAAAAATATATTTTTATTTGCACAAAAATATATCTGATAGCATAGAAACAAAAATATGCTCCTGCTTCCATTTTCTGCTAAATAAAATTCGTTTAAATTAGTCAAAATTAGTTACTTTTCAACTATTGATTTACTGATATTGATGAGGAAACTCTGTGTAGCGTATAAAAATCTTCGTGTAAAAATTAAATTGTTCGAAGTTTGAGATCCACGATATCCTCATTTCAAGGCACGCGATATCATGTCGTGTCCTTCCATACAAAACCATCCATTGATTCAGACATTTCCGCCAAATGACAACGAAGTTGGACGCGACTTTGCCGAACGTGACTGGAATCGCGTCTCGTCTCCGCATGAGGATCACATTCGGCATTTTCCAGACCGTAAATGCGCACGACGTCGACGATGGCCAGGAATCTCCCATCTCAACAATTCCTCTTTCTCTGTGAAATGACTACGTTTCCATCCAGTCCGGTCACGGAAATGCCCGCGGAATTTCCACCTCGCGATTTTACACGATTTTTCACTTGAATCGCGCCATACGGTGTTACCTGAAAGGTTACGCGATCGATATTTCATGTGTCGGTTCATCTATATCGACGACGCTGTCGAAAAGATGTTGAATTGTTTAATGGTGAATCTATTGAATCAGTGTCGAGAACAGCGGAATAGGGCGAGTTATTCGCGAGTGCAAAAATTTTTATTGAATATATTCTAGCTCTGAGGTATTTTTATCTTGAATTTCGATTTTATTGAATCTGAGATGTGTTTTCCTTTTTCAAGATACGCCATTTATAGAGGAAAGAAAAATGTATTTTCTTTTATATCATTGTGTCTCTTGGCGTTTATTGAAAAAAAAAAATATCCGTTGTTTTTTAGTGATAATTTTAATAATAAATAATTATTGCAAAATTAATTCATTTATATATTATAGATGATGTAGAATACAATTTTAATTATTTATATGATTGTAACTTTGAGATTACTAGTTCCTCGAAATTGAAACAACCATGACTGCTTTCCTAACATACTATACATGAGTTTGTACGAGATACAATAGTTATTTAACAATTTATTGCGAGAAAAGAGAAAAGAGAAGCAAGAGAAAAAGAGAGTAAGAATAAACATTTTATTCCTCTTGCACAATCGCTTCTTCGTCCTTTTTTCCCGAACGGCTTTTAAAAAAATTACATTAATATTTGATACCATGATGTGAAGCTTACAAATTAATTCTCTCCCTTCATGGTAAAAGACTATTGTACTTCAAATCAATGTTAAAAGTCTAATATATTTACTGTTTCAAGAGCATGTAGCTAAAGATTTTTAAACTTCAAGATAAAAAACGTAGACAAAACATAGGCAAAAGAAATTATGCTTCCAACAATCAAATTAGTTTCTTTCGTTACCTAAGTTTACATCAATAATAATCTTTTTCTATGCACTTTTTTTCTATAAACTTCAGAATTTAAAAACAACCTATATAGAAATTGACATATTATTATTTAAATGGTGTTCCGTTTGAAAGAATGTAGGGACATATCGCTGACAATCGATGGCCGATTTTAATGAGCGTGTCCCATAAGCGTTCCGCGGTATCACGTCAGTCATGAGCGAAAAGTAGGGGAGACAGGGGTCAGAGGATCCTTCGGGAGCCCAGAGCTTGATTAAACTCGGGATAGCCGTGGTAACAGGTGTTCGCTATCGCGGACTAGTGCTGAATCAACAGCGAACAACTTCCCCGGGACAATTCTTCCCTCCCTCGTTGTACTTCTCGAACGCCGCTTTCTCTCTCTTTCTCTCTCCCAGAGATTTGTGTCCGATGAACGTGACGGAAGGAAGGACATCCGTGTCATCCCCGACCGGACAATCCCGATCTCCGGGTTTTCCCAGTCACGCAGCCCATGGAAAAAGTTTTTCCAGGATATCCTGCAGCCTCTCTATATTGAAGCAATTCTCTTCGCTTGACGATTTTACAATATACTTCAAACTTGAAAATTTTATTAACTAAAATCCGCTTTAACGATTCATAATTTCTAACAAACAATTCAGAATTTTATTTATAATTTTATTTGCCGGATCTCTTTCAAATTTTTTGCGCAACTTATGAATCATCTAAAAAAATACAATGTATGTAAAATAATATGTATTAAATAATTTTAGAATTTAACTATTTGAATATTTCATGTTATAATTCAAAATTCATATTACACTTAAATACCTCGAATAGTATCATATTCTAACTTTTTTGGGCGATGCAAACATTTAGGAACATAAAGGAGATTTCTAAAACGCTCTTCCATGTTATTTCGATACATCGTTTAATTTATTCTAACAAGCATTCGCAGAAACGCGCGCGGACATCGATGTACCTACATATCCTATGCGTCGCTGTTAGGAAATTGCCCATTGCTCGATACGTATCTTGCAAATGGAACCACAATCTAGCGTGGACTGTAGAATGGCGGCTATTCCGGAAGTTGGTCAGTCTCGCCGGCATTTACTGATTTAAGCTGCGACCACCGTTGGCTTCAATTAGAAATTGCCCGAAATCCTACGATTCGGAAACGAATATTCGGCAATCTCTCTCTGGTATATATAGGCTACAAAATTTGCTGTGCTATGAATTTAACATCGGTCTTCTTTGAATCTTCAGATGTGTGATCAAGTCGGAAATTTCAATCGCAGAATATGTGTATATATATATATATATTATGCTCATATATATCACTTGGATACTTTGATTCTTGATGCGGTAAAATATAAATGAATCACATTTCTTGATATATTCATATTTTTTGAAAGATACTTAAATATTTAAATATTTTTCAAGAGGCATTTAATGATATGCATACATTATTTGCTCATGTGGATTGCTCGAAGAAAAAAATTTCCCTTAAACATGAAACTCTACTGCTGGTTTTTACGATCTTTTTTAAGCATTTATTCTATTCGTCTTTATGTAAAGTTAGCAAAACACGTTAAACTTGTTAAATTCTAACTTAATGAGCTGCTAACAAGAACTTTCTGGGACGTCTAGTTTTGGAACCAGAACGCGGAAATTAGTTGCACGGCAGTCTCATCGAAAAACGATGCCAACCGCGTGTGCACGCTATATCGTTTAACAGCTGTAACAAAATATTGCCGACCGCAACTATTTTCCAACGCTTGGCATTGCGATTCACGAACAATAGGAAAACACGATCGTTTATTTTACATTTCATTTATAACCAATATTGCGAGAGAGAGGAGGAAGATATCATGCATTTTTTGGAATAAATTACTTGGATTAACACGTATAATACTTGTTGTCTTGATACATAAAGAAGATTGACTAAGAATGCACGTGATATTATCATATTTGCGAGAATTAAGGGCATGACTCTTTTAAAATAAGATTTAATTGTTTAGTGTCGCAGCAAATAAAAAATACCAATAAAAAGAAATAATACTAAAAAAAGAGAAAACGAGATTAATGTTTTTATAAAATGTATAATAATTTTTCAGATTTTTTAGATTTCACATAGTTCAAAGATTTCCTCGATAAATCTTATGATTGAAGTAATTAAAGCCGCGTGGATTGAAAATAGAGGAGCGTAATAATTTTTTTATAAGCAAAATTAATAACCGACCCATTTCAATTCATCAATTCAAATATGTGCGACGATTTATAGACATTTTTTAAAGATTGCACAAGGGAGGATTCTACGCTGATTCGATAATCATGCAAGCATTTGTTTGTTCGCTACTGATAAAAGAACGTGACGGTATTTTGCGATCCGTCTATCGCTGCGCGAATAAATAAGTTTCTCATCGGAAGCATTTTCGACATCTTTGTTTTTCTCCAATAGCAGCGTAAAAATTCGATAATATCCGATGGCGCTTTGTGTCTGCGAGAGCCGGTACACTCGAGGCACACCCGGTGATGGATGTTCTCTGAAAGCCGACGCTGTGGAATGTAACGTCATCGGAATATCAACGACCATCCAGCATTCTCCAACATAGCTGAACGTAATTAGACATCTCGCCGAAGAGATGGAGTCATCTTTTCATTACCTTGCATCGCGTCCTGCTTAAAATTAAGCACTCGGAATCTAAAGGACGAAAGCTCCGCGTCAATATACGTCCATGTGCCTTAAAATGCGTGCACCGAATATGCCAAAAATCATTGCTTTCGCAGTACGAGTGAAATAATAATTGTGTTAATTAATGTCAATTATTAATAACTGATGAAACATCGATACTCTAGAATATTAATTTGAAAAGATTCTATTTATTCACGTCCCCTCTTGTCAGAAACGACGCTCTTCGCCTCAGCTATAGCTATGTCGCGATCGTACGTACTACCAATTTATCAAAAGGACTGATAAATAACGCGTTTCCCGCAGCTTGTCCGGAATCGCGAGCGGAATGGATGGAGCTGGGTGGCGGCGGTGGCGCGGTGTGCTATGCGCCGTCACGTCTGGGCAAACTCGTTTTGCGTGTCACCGGGTTTCCCAGGGTCACTCAACAGTGCCATGTGAGCCAACACCCTGAAGAGAATCATCATCGCGAGACCAGACACTTGTATCTGGGCTTCCATCACCCCTGGGATCGGGACCTTTGGAAGGGCTGGATCAAGGAGGTAAGCGACCTCATCGCTATTCTTCCGCGTGAAATCGAGACAATTTCTCGAAATAGTTTCTCACGAAACACGTAGGAAGGTGCTAGGCACCATATCGAGAAAAAAGAAAGGGAAAGAGATACCGGAATTGAATGAAGCAATTGAAAGCGTCGCGTTGATTGAAACTGAAGGAGCGTAATAATTTTTTATAAGCAAAATTAATAATCGAGATATTATTAAAAAATGAATATCAATAATTTTACTATTAAAAATACGTTACATTTGTTCAAATCTAAATTATTTCGTTTTATTTTAATAATATGCTGATGTAATTTTAACTTTGATATAAATTTCATCGCATATATCATGTATGAATATTCAATTTCCGAATAGTATGAATAATATGATATTATTTGTACAATTTTTTTGAGTCTCTCGATATTCCTGTACATTAATTAATAATATGCTATATTATTATTATTTTTATTATTTATTTATATATTTATTAATCATTAATTTATTTATTTGATAATTTACTTCAACGTATTCTTTTCCATTTCTATTCTATTTTATTCACGCGCATTAATATTCTTTGCTTCGCGCGTATTTGTCAGATTGAATCACATTTCGTTGCTCGAAGCAATCATAGATATTAATTTGATTTATCATTCATCTCGATATATAATATTTAGTACAAAGATTCTAGGTTCTGCGGAACAATCGTACATTCTTGTACGATGCATGCGATAAATAAACCCAGAAAGAAGCTGTCGCGGTGGCACGTATAGAAATAGGAACGGAGAAATCCATTTTTCAAGAGACGTGTGAGAGAATCTTTGACACACACAGTCGGTGTTTGCCCGACAATTTCAGTCACCTTAAAACTCGAGCTCACCCGGTCGTGAGCTGAAACCGATTCTTGGAATTTCCCTTGGAGCGTGTTACGCGGCTTGAACGAGGAAACGAAGCAGATTCTCGTGTAACGAACTCGGACAAGCTGAAAATTTTGCATGATACTCCGGCAGGATAAACGGAGTCGATATTTACAATGCATAAGGGTTATATCGATACACGCGAGAGAGCAAAAAGATATTATATTTCGCGAGGATCTGCGTAAATAGCTTTGGATCTCGCATCTCCGTGCATCCTGCAACTTTGTGCCCTCGCATCCTCCCCCTTCGACTCCAATAACCATCGAAAGAGGAGCTCTTGCGCATGTAAATAGGTCATGCGGCGAGTAGATAGGTAATATTCCGAGGCATACCGACCGCGTATCTGGAAAGGAATAGGTGGAACGTCAATGCGGCAGAGCAGCAGTGAGCAGAGTGCAACATGCCGGAGAAATTATGTCGGACAGAACAGGCGGCGGGGGCGGAGGAGACGAGAGGAAGGCGCGGGCGGCTTCCGATAATGTCGTTACATGTCGACGGGCAAGCGCGATGAATTAGAATTGCGTCGATTGTCGGCTCGCGCTCTGCCCGATGCAAATGAGAACAAACATAGGCGTCATTTTGATGAGCTTCAATAGAATTCATCGACTAAACAAAAAGGACAACTCCTCCCGACGTGTTTCGCACCGTTGAGCAAACCCGTAAATATCGATATTAGCTCGCTGCGAGACGACTCTGTTACACCGTTGTATGTTCGCAGTTATTTAAGGGCTCAGTCTGTTCCAGCAGTATGAAAAATTGATCATTTTTAGGATATTTCTTTTTCAAGAATATTAGAAATTGATTTTTTTTAATGTTTTACATGTGTTTTATATACATATATATATAAAGAGAGTACGTCAATATTTTTTAATCGTACGTCAATAATTTAATGAAGATATTCAACTCTTTTTGTTGAAAAAATATGAGCTTCCGCGCATAACGTGTTCAAAAATACATGGTTTGACTATGTGATATGTTGCGTCTCGTGTAATTGTCTAAAATGAAAAAAACTCGATCTAATTTTATATTCCATAGGATATTTTTGGAATATTTAACCTAATTTCATTTTCAAAAAGTTGAAAAATAACAAAGTAGTATTGTTTTAAAATTACATATTTCCATTTTGCTGAAATTTTTTCTGAGATTACAAATTTATTATATATTAATTTTTTAAATTTTAACTAGGTTCAATATCCAAAATATTCTACTGTACAAAGTATTCTGCTACTGCAATAAAACTAGACTAAATTTTTTTATTTCAGACAGTTACACGAAGAGCAGCGTGTCATACCATCGTTTTTTAATTGTTTTTTATTGTCGTTACGTGCAGAAGCTTGTATTAAACATAAAAAAATAAATTTTTAAATAAAAATACTGACGTACTATTTACACATCGATAAAAATATATATGAAATAACAAAAAAATTGCAAAAATTAATTTCCAATATTATTCTTTAAAAAATTTCTAAAAGTCATTAATTTTTCATACTGGTAGAGTAGACTGAATCTTTAATAATTCGTATGTAATCGTATGTAATGTGCATATTTATAATTAGAAATTATGTGTAGGAGCTTCGAGTCTTTTGGAAAGGAGAAGTTCTCTGTCACCGCGGTTTTATATCATAAAGCTTTTTTTAATAAAATGCACTGCAGATATCATATCGTTGCAGATCGATTCCTCAAAGGTTTGATTAAAGCGCAAGTCGGAGAAGTCAAAGGAAATTTTCCCTTCTTCTTCGTCTCCGCGAATCCGCGACTGAAAAGATCGACGAGACGGGAACAGATAGATCGAAGCTGAAAGAAGAGTCACTAGGGGGACGAATAGCGAGAGGAATCCAAAATGACGCAAACATTGGCCTAAAGGCACATCCTGAATATGAAATCACGATGAACAAACTTCAATATCCAAATGCGACCTAACGGAGGAGATTGGGAGAAAGGGGACAGGAGATAAAGAGGTTGGAATAGATAAGGGGTGAGGGTACACACTATCATGCCGGACGTTATGACCGGACCGTCGCCAGCATCCGATCGCGAAATTATCGGCGATTCGCGATCGATCCCTCGATACGATTGCCGGCGACGACACATTTAGCGATATATATTTGACATTTAATGTCCCGTAACGTTTTAAGCCGGAACAATAATTCGAATCTCTACCTATAACGTGCGATTAAAGATCTTTTTTGAAAACATTAAAATGCACCTGAAAAAAAATAGTAATATAATTTTACATAATCATATGAATGTGATGACGCCAAATTATGGTTTTAATTATATATGATTATGTACGATTTTATATAATTACATTACTCTATTTTTTCTGATGATACGTGGGTGGTAATTGAACCGAATAATTTAGAAGAAATATCAGAATAAAATATTTCATAAACAAATATTTATAAGCAGAGCTATGTGTAATAACTGGAAACTCTCTTCTCTTAAAAGAAAAGAAACAGATAGTGAAAAATATATTTACAAAACGAGCATCTCTCGTGCTATTCCAAGTGGCTGCTTGCAGACTGCTGTCGAAAAGAGAAGAAAAACAAAATGGTAAAAAAATAACCACTGTTTTTTCTCATGTTGCGCTACTTTCGATTTTTCTCATTTTAAACAACAATGACAATTTACGAGATTATTTGATGTATTATTACAGGTGAAGTGCACAAATTCGTCGACTGGTTTTGTCAATCGAAGTTGAACGCGATACCGTTCGAAACGCGAGATCATGCTTTGGATAAACACTTGCTAAATATTCAGCGATCACTTGTACAAATACGGAATGCGGCCCACCCACCCTCACCCCTCTCTCTCTCTCTCTCTTTCTCTTGCTTCCTCCCTCGTCATTTCTCTTGAATTATTCAACACACGTAGTATTTTGCCGCTTTTCTCCATGGCGCAAATGCACCGCCGCCGCCACCGCGAAACACTATTATTGCATCGACCGGACGCATCGTGATCGCGTTTAATCCGTCCGTTGAATTTTCCGCTAATGCATTGTTGCGCGATGAATGAACGGAAATTTACACAAATCGCGGTAACAAACTTTTGACGAGGAATTTTTCTTTTCTACTGTTTATTTCATTTCGTCTCGTCGACTTTGCACGTGAAAAAATTACATAAATTGCATGTCAGAATATTCTTTTGATTTTTTATTATTCTCTACTATCTTCAATTTTTCTCGTATCGTAAATTTTAGTTGCAATTCGCTTATATTATATAATGCGTGATTTTATGTGAAAAAAGATATGTATAACGTGAATGATGCAAGCTTATTTAAACGTGTCATTAGTTTAATGATATACGAGAAAATGCGAAGAAGTATGTACTGATCATAAGGCATTTATGTAATTCTTTATGCAATATTTACTGCATAAAGAAAAATTGACTGATATTTAATGGTATTTAATATCGCCTTGTCCCGCCTTTTGTTTAATAATCGTCGACGGAATCGTACTCAAAGCGTCAAAGCGAGTCGATTTCAAGCACGCGTCAGATAATGAAACAATTTTCTTGAATGTCGGGTGTCGATGACACGATCGAGTGGATCGTGACATTTTGTAGTGGAGCGTCATTATTTGCGTAATAGAAGCGGAGCGGTTTTGAACACATGACTCTATGACAATTCAGTTTGATACATCAGCTATTCGTATTTGTTGCCGAAAGTATCGACATTCTCTGTCCATTGCATCAAACAGATTATCTCAGTAAATATTTCTTAATTTTCAAATGAGATTATTCTCTTTCTCTCTCTTTTTCTCTCTTTCTCTCTCTCTCTCTAAAAAATTAAATAATACAACTTTTAAACGTTTTAACATAAGTATTGTGAATCTACGTATATTTTTCTCATCATGTGTGTGTGTAAAATAATATAAAATTGTATTACTCTTTAAAAGAAAAAGAGAAAATATATGATATTAATAGAGGATTCTTTTTTATATTGAAAGCATTATTTGCTGGCAACTTCTATCAGTGACAGTATTTAAATATATTTCTTTCTCAATTAATCCTGAGTCACATATTTTTTGTTAAAAACTAATTTTATTAACATTCGAATAAATTAAAATTCCAATCAATACCTGAAAAATA